CTGATTCAATTCCTGTATAAAATAATTTATATAATGTATTGATCCAATAATAATAAAATAATAAATCTTTTTTAATTTTATTAATTCCTTACCTAAACAATCAGAAATTCTTGAACTGTTTGTTTTTTCAAAAATCCACATAATCTGGTTATAGCAGCATGAACTTGTTGTGTTAAATACCATTCAAAATCTATTTTTTTCAAATTTTCAAATTTTTAAAATAAAATATAAATATAAACATATATACAAAATAAATTTAAAATTATCAATATAACAAGATAAAAAAAATTACCTACCAATATTTAAATTCATGTTTCTAACTTCATCTGGATGAAAAGCACATTCTGAAACATGTTCATTTTTAGAGTTATCTCCCCCATCCTTTTTACATATTATATAAGGAATAGTATTTCCTTGATGTGCACTAGCTCCTTTTTGTTTCATTCTTAATGCAACTTTTACATGTGGTTGACTTTTAATGTCAGAATAAGCTTCAGGTGATTTGGTGAGATTCTAAGGAAAGACAAACATATATATTATTAACTAATCCAAATATTTATTTACCCATTTAAATAAGCAAATGGGTTTACCTTTTTTATTATATATTTATCCAATGAAAATTTTTCTTGACGTGTATTTTCTCCCAATTGAGTAAGGAACTGATGAATATTTTTAAGCACTGTATCTTGATCAGAACTAGAAAGTATTTGACTTAAGACATAGCTATTTTTATATAAATAAAGAAAAAAAGTTCAATTTTTTTTTGTATTTTACTTTAAATCAACATGTAATTAACAAAACCAAATTTATAATTATACTAACTTTGATGCATCATGAACTAATTCACACCAATCCCTTCTCACCAAATCAAGTCCTTTAAACTCATTATGACGAACAAGTGTTCCATTTTTCTTTTCTACAACAACAGCTGCATATTTCTTTTTCTTTAATAATAAAAGCCTTTCAAAAAATCCATCAATATCTATCTCAAGCAATTTGTATCGTTTATTAACTTTTTCTTTCAAAAATTTTCCAACTTCTAATGCCTTTTGCATTTCTGATGTGTTTGTATTGATCATTATTGAATCTGTGTCACCATAAATAACCTACAAGTTAAATTATTAGTTTAATTATTGCAACACATAAAATCATTATAAAGCACAAGTAATTTCCACACCTCCATTGATTCTTTTTCTGCCAAATCAACAGTATCCTGTAAGATTTCTCTTCCTTTTGAAGTGATTAAAACTGCCAATGGTTTTGCATAAAATCTTGAATTTGTAAACCCCAAGCAGCCATACATACTATTTGCAGTAAGTTTAAGTGCTTTTAGTTGTCATGTCATACCTGAAGGTTATTAAGAAAAAATCATTATTATTACTACTATTACTCCATCAAACAAATTTTTTTGCTTTAATATTAAATTTATACATACATATATATATTTATATAGTTGATATAAACATGGTTTCATCAGCAAATCCTGAAGCATTTCAATTTACAGCGATCAGGCAATTAGATGATAAAAAATGGTGGCCAATTGGATTCAAAGATTTAATCAATAAAAATAATGTAATTTGAGGCTTGAAAAAGACGAATATGCTTTGTTGAACTATTTAATAGGTATTTTATCTATCTGTTTGATAAGTATAATTAATTGTTTATAATCAATAGAGGTTCATTTATTTCTTTTTTGCAGCATTAATTAAAATACATGATCCTGATATTTTTGTTGGACATAATTTTATGGGATTTGGTCTTGATATATTATTACATCGTATAAATATGCTAAAAATTAAAGATTGGTCATGTTTTGGGAGATTATGTAGAACCATGTAAGTCATTTTAAGTATAAAAATGGTGCTATTATATTGTTATAATATTAAATGTTTTTGTTAAATTTTTGTTTTGTTAAAAAGTTGGCCAAAAATGAAATCTGGTACTGGTGGTATTGGCGAATCAACTTACGTAGAAAAAATAATTGTTAGTGGAAGATTATTGTGCGATATCTTTACAAATGCAAAGGTAAATTTACAATCTTCTTTTTATTTTTAATTTAAAAAAGCACATTCTATTTATTAATTTTTTTATGGGCATATTTATAATTTCTAGGATCTTGTTAAATCAAAAGATTATTCATTAACAGAACTTGCCAAAGCTCATTTAAATTATAATCGTAAAGACATTCAACTTGATAAAATCGAATCATGTTTTGCATCATGCAAAGATTTATATGAATTGGTTTTGCATTGTCAATTTGATTCAGTTCTTTCTGCTCGTTTAATGTATAAACTTCAAATTTTACTTCTTACAAAACAACTTACTTCACTTGCTGGTAATCTGTGGTATGTATGCATAAACCAATATTCTAAAATAACATAATATCAGATAATTATTTCAATTTAGTAATTCATGATGTATATACATATACATTTCAATTTATCAATTTATTAATTAGGCCAAAAACTCTAACTGGTGGTAGAGCTGAACGTAATGAATATTTGTTATTACATGAGTTCCACAGATTAAAGTATATTTATCCTGACAAAGATTCCAATAAGCAATGTTCATACAATAATATTGTAGAACCAGATGATAATGGTATAGTAACAAAAGATTTTTTATTTGAAAATATACAAGATATTAGAATGATCTAATAACTAATATATACATTATGTATATATGTGTGTATGATTAAAT